TGGATTGAGCGCAGGCTGTGAACCAAAGCATCGCAGGTTCAATTCCCAGTCAGGGCACATGCCTGGGTTGCAGGCCATGGCCCTGAGCAACCACACATTGATGTTTCTCTCTCTCTGTCTCTCTCTCTTTATCTCTCTTTCTTCCTTCCCTCCCTCTCTAAAAATAAATAAATAAAATCTTCAAAAAAAAGAAAATAAGAACAATCTAACAATAGCCAGAGGGAAGGGGACAGTGGGGAGAAGGGTTTTCAGGAACTACTATAAAGGACACATGGACAAAACCAAGGGGGAGGGTGGAAGCAAGGGAGGGAGGTAGGTTTGGAGGGGGTAAAGGGAGGGGTGGGGAGAAAATACAGACAACTTTAATTGAACAACAATAAAATAATTTTAAAAATACAATAAAATAAACCCATAACTTTCATTTTGAATGTCACAGGTTTGATGACATAGGATTTCATTTTTTTCAACCTATGAATTCAAGTATACATATTGTTTCTGCACTAATGTTTCTAGAAACCTAACATTATAAATTCTGTTTTTCTTTTTAATTTGTAAAAATAAAGTTATCATTCATGTGTAGATAGATTGTAGTACATAAATTTCAAACCTGCTATAAAAATTATTAGCCTTACTAGAGAACAGGAAAAAAGTGCAACAATAATAATATCCAAGATATAATAGCAGAAAACTCTCTTGAAATGAAGAAAGATACAGACTTGTAAATCAAAAGGGATTTTCTGTGTTATTAAAAACCTGTAACAGAAGTCAGTTGATACAAAAGTAAAATCTGATGAAGTTATCCAATTCCATGTTTAGAGAAATAATCCTGTAAGCTTCAGTGGGGGAAGAAGATGGCCACTTTAGGGTGGAGGAAAGTGGGAGTAGTCAGCCTTACCTCAGATTTTTCCACAGCTATTTTTGAGATTGGATTTTAAGTGGGAATGAAGATGTCCACAAAATTCTGTACCTAGCCAACTTGTCCTTCAGGTATAAGCACACATCCAAAAGGAAAATCTAAAATGTGAAAATTCAATAAAGGTAGTATTCATGTACAATTCTTATTTTAAAAATTACTTGAAGATATAATCTAAAAAATGAATTAATCAAAATAAAGAATTCAAAAATTAAAAACTCATAACAGTGAAATAGTGGTGGAGAGAATTCTGTTTAACATAAACAATAACAAAGTAAGAAAAATATTATGAAAATAAATTCCAACAGCATGTTTTGTCTTTTAATAGTGAAGTTTGACTTAAGGCAAAAAGAATCAAAGACATCCAAATTCATTGCTATAATAAAGGGAATAAAATGGTCCCTTCTGGATAAGGTCAGGTTAGAAAGGACACTACGTGTAGATAAGAGAATACATCAGGAAAAAATGATGTAATAGAGATAGAACGATGTAAACATTTGAATAAGGATAGGTAAGTGGGAAATATATAGGTCAATGGAACAGAGTAGAGAGTGCAGAAATAGATGCACCTATAGATGGTTAGTTGACTTTATACAAAGGTACCCAAGTAATTCAGTGAGGGGGAAAGATGTCATTTTTCAACAATTCATAACCTTCAAAAACTGGATAAAACAATGTCTAACAAAAGATAAATGACTGACTGGCTGACTGGATGAATGAATGAATGAACTGTGCTATATTTACACAATGAAATACTACTCATTAATAAAAAGAATTTTATACCTAATCTACAAAACATTCTGCAATGCTAAAGACATCAGATACAAATGCATACATACTAAATGATTCCATTTATGTGAAATGGAAAATCAGGCACATCTAATCTATAATAGTAATCCAAATACATAAAATAGTACAACAGGTCAGTGGTAGGGAATGGAAGATTAATTGCAAGGGGACACAGTGAATCGTGAGGTGATGGAATTATTAGAGACATGGATTAGGGTAGAGGTTACATGGATGTTTATAATTGTCAAAATTTATTGAACTGTACAGTTAATATGGGTACATTTTATCATGTGCAAATTATACTTCAAGAAAATTGGAATGTACCTGAGTGCTCTTAATCCTACATCCTTGCTATTACCACAGGAGCTCAATCACTTATAAATTTGTCAGTTATGTGATCATTCAATTATCACTTGTTCATTCAACTTGAATTTTTCTGATAACATTGAAGTTGAAGATTTTTTGAAATTGTTTAATCTTTACTACTTTTTGTTAATATTATTTGTACATTGTTCTATTCAGTGGTTTGTTTTATTATATTGTTTGTAGGATTCATTGCATATTCTGAATTTTAATCTTGTATCTGTCAGGCATGTTACAGTCTGTCACTTCTCTTTCAAGTTTGCTTATGTTATCACTTGTCCTAGAAAAGTTTCTTGTTTTTATGTGGTAAAATATGTCAAACTTACATCAAAATAAGTTTGTTGTTTCCATTAAATTAATTCCATTGAGAATTTTCTTTAGATGACATTGAATGTATTTGAGGAGAACTGATGATGTTAAAATATTGAGTTTACATAGCTCATCAAAATACACAACTTTAATTGAATTGATCTCATTGTATAAAAATTACTCTTCAAAAAGCTATTTACAATAAGCCACCTTTTCTATGGTCATTGTATTATGTTCCTTTATTGTAGTATTATTTGATGTATTTCAGTAAAGTTTTAATGTTTTCTTCTTATAGTTCTTGCACCTAATTTTCATTGCTATTGAGAATCAGATCTATTTTTCATGGCCATTTTAATCAGATTTCTCTAGTATAGAGGAAAGTAATTTAATTTAAATATTAATTTTTTATTTTTCCACTGATATGTCTGTAATAGAATTTTATCTATTATAGCAATTAGTGTCACTGTTTCATGGAGAATAATAAAATATTTCAGGAAATATAATATTAAATAAAAATATATAATGCAAGATTATAAGCTATAATCTACTTTTATGAATATATGTACATATAAAGAAGTGGCTGCTTGGGTAACTGGGTGGAATGTAACATATATCAAAGTACAGAATAAAGGACAAAGAGCAGACTTGGAGGAACATAAAGAGTTTCACACTGTGCATGTTGAGGTTGAACTGCTCATAGACCCTCACATGGAGATATCCAGTAGCCAAATGAGAATAGCAGCAGGGAGCTCTGGAGAAAGATCTGAGCTTCACATAGAGATGTGGCAGTTACCATAATATACAAGATTAAAGTGGTGAGTTTCGATGCCATCACTCAGAGAAGACAACTAAGGATGCAAATGGGCCAAGGTTGGAAACCTAGCACATGGCACAAATGGAGCTAAGAGGTCTTTTTTTTTTTTAATGGCTGCTTCCCTTCTCATTGAAATTGAAGAAAATGAGAAGAATCCATAGAATCACATAGTCTGAGATCTTACATAGACTCAACAATTGACACACTGTGTGGCTTAGTGAGGAATTGAAATGGTGATAATATCTTCTATACTTCCTTAGTATTGTCATAAGGGCAGAATAAAAATCTAGCTATAAAGTATTTTTAGGAAGTCTGAACTACCAAACAGAAAAGAAGCATCCTTCCCTTCTTGATTTGTATATCAGCTTCTACTTTCTTTCTCCATTACTGGAGAAATAAATTGTAATGTCCCCAAAGTTTATTATTCCCAGGAAAAGACAAAATCCACTCTTGTGGTAAAAGGATTAGAAAAATCAGTTTCAGGTCAGAAAACACAAGCTACACACAAAAGTAGACCTCTTTTGTACAAAAAAAAAGAGGAAGAAAATGGCTAAGAGATAAACCATGTGAACTTGTGAAGATTTATGTGAGGGGCATTTACTAGGAAGCTGGGAGGTTGAGATATTTGGATCTTATTTAGCATTGACCCAAGAGTAAAGAAAATCATTTTAAAATGATACCACAACCAAAACAGAGTTCTGGTTTTAAACTGGTAATATCATGTAATAAATTAGTTAAAAATGTAAGCCATGAAAATCACTTAAAATAGTACTTCTTTTTTATGAAAATTACCAGATTTTTATTTTTTATATTGTTATTCAAATACAGTCATCTCCATTTTCCCCCACCACACTCACCCACTGCACCAACCACCACCTCCCACCTGCCATCCTACACCTCCTTTGGCTTTGTCCATGGGTACTTTATACATGTTCCTTGACGACCCTTCCCCTTCTTCCCCTTGTTACCCTTCCCACCTCCCCTCTGGTTACTGTCAGTTTGTTCTTCATTTGAATGTTTCTGGTTACATTTTGCTTGCTTGTTTGTTTTGTTGATTATGTTCCACTTATGGGTGAGATCATATGGTATTTGAAATAATACCTGGCTTATTTCACTAAGCATAATACTCTCCAGTTCTGTCCATGCTGTCACAAAGGGTAGGAGCTCCTTTCTTTCTGCTACATAGTATTCCATTGTGTAAATGTACCATAGTTTTTTGATCCACTCATTAACTGATAGGCACTTAGGTTGTTTCCAGCACTTGGTTATTTTAAATTGTGCTGCTATGAACATTAGGGTGGATAGGTTCTTTTGGATTGGTGTTTCAGGGTTCTTAGGATATAATCCCAGCAGTGAAATTGCTGGGTCAAAAGGCAGTTCCATTTTTAGTTTTCTGAGGAAATTCCATACTGTTTTCCACAGTGGCTGCACCAGTCTGCATTCCCACCAACAGTGTTCCAGGGTTCCCTTTTCCTGCAAGCTCTCCAAAATTTATTGTTTGTTGATTTGTTTATTATGGCCATTCTGCCCCATGTGAAGTGGTATCTCATGGAGGTTTTAATGTGCATTTCTCTGACTGCAAGTGATGTTTAAACCATGCTTTGCCAAGGTCCTCTGGGGAAGATAAAAGGGATGGCCTAGTCAGGTATCACAAAGACCTCCCAACCTAGTTCACCTGTGAAGTTACGAGTCATCTGTTTAACATATTGAACAAATGTGCAGCATATCATTTTAACTAACATTAACATGGTGAGGAAAATTATCTGATGATAATTCAATATGTGTATATCTACTGAATAAAATTATGTATAGTCATATACAACAAGAAAATATCTTTTTACAAAAGACTCTTCCCAGAGCTCCCTTCATGTCTCTGTTCCTCAGGCTATAGATGAAGGGGTTCAGCATGGGGGTCACCACAGTGTACATCATAGCCATTACCATTTCCTTAACAATAGAGTTATCTCCTGATGGGCAGAAATAGAGACCAATAATTGTCCCATAGAACAGTGACACCACAGACAGGTGGGAGCCACAGGTAGAGAAGGCCTTGCAGATGCCTTGAGCAGAAGGGACCTTGAGGATGGAGGACACAATTCGTGCATAGGACATGATGATGAGTAGGAATGGGATGACAACAATGAGCCCTCCAACAAAAAAGATCACCAATTCATTAACTCGAGTATCAGTGCAAGACAGCTTCAGCAGAGCAGAGATGTCACAGAAAAAGTGGAGGATCTTGTTGTCAGCACAAAAACACAGTCTAGCCATGAGAAGAGTGTGTAACAGGGCATGCAATGTGGTCACCATCCAGGACAGCACCACCAGGGAAACACAGAGCTTGGGGCTCATGATGGTGGCATAGTGCAAGGGGGAGCAGATGGCCACATAGCGGTCATAGGCCATGGCCACAAGCAGGAAGCTCTCCAGGTCTGCAAAAAACAGGTAGAAGTACATTTGGGCCAAGCAGCCTGCATAGGGGATGGATGGGACTTGACTCTGCATGTTCTGCAGCAGCTTGGGCATTGTGACAGAGGAAAAGCAGAGGTCAGAGAAAGACAAATTACTGAGAAAGAAATACATGGGTGTGTGGAGGTGAGAGTCCAGGTGAATAAGCACGATGATGAGGAGGTTCCCCAGGGTGGTGGTAAGATACATGGCCAGGAACAGGGCATAGAACAGGTTTTTCTGCTCTGGCTCAATGGGCAGTCCAAGGAGAAGGAACTCTGTGAGGATGGTTTGATTCCTTGCTGCCATAGCTGTCTCCAGTATCTTTAGAAAGAAATGATAGTGTCCACTGAAATTTGAATTTAAAAATGAGTACATTTCTAGGATGGTATTTTAGGCACTCTACAAAAACACTTTATATATCACCTTTTCACAATAATGACAATTTCTATTCTCCAAATCTCTATAATCAGAACTTCCATGATAAAAAATTACTTTTTTTACTTCTTTTTCATACACAATGTTCCAACTTATTTAAAACAATCTTCTCCATTAGCTTCTGAGACACATAATCTAAATCAGTATTCCTCAGACCTACCTGGCCAGACCCTCTCAGGAACTATGACCCTCTGCTGCTCAATCAATATCTTACATGATGGTGTTCCTCTGGGCTTTTTCCTAAGCACTGTTCTCTTATAATTCTATACATACTACCCAGAAAAAACTTCTCTACTCCACAGACTTAAATTACCCTTTAAGCCTCAGATGTAGATGCCTCTCTCACCTATAAAAAGGGATATTCAGTTGCTTAATGATTGTCTTTCCTTGGATGTATTATAGGCATTTAAGAAATTTTAAATATGTTTATTGATTTTAGAGAGAAATGGAGGGAGGGAAAAGTGAGGGGGGAGAGGAGGGACAGAGAGGGAGAGACAGAGAGAGAGAGAGAGAGAGAGAGAGAGAGAGAGAGAGGGAGATTGTTTCCCATATGTGTTCCAACCAGGGACTGAACCCTGCAAACGTTATGTGGGCTGACCAGAAATGGAACCTCCAACGTTTTGGTGTATGGAACAATGTTCCAACCAACTGAGCCACACCAGCCAGGGCTATCATAGGCATTTTAAGTTTAATAAACCCCAGAAGAAAATTACCATCTCACCCTGCCCCACTCCCAATCTCCCCTCCTCTAATTCTCCACATCTCATTGAAAGAGTTCCATGCTCTCCAGTCATAAAGCTGAGAGTTTTCTTTCATTCCCATCTGTCTCTCATCTTCAACATCCATCTGTGAGCAATTCCAATAGATTCTACCACTTAATTCTCATTCATCCATTCCTTTCCTCAACACTCACTATCCTAAACCAACTGACTTCATATCTCACCTATACTATTGAAACAGCTCTTCAGTCACATTCCTGCTTCATGCTGGAACCTTACTTCTTAAGTAGCATTCAGTCTCACTGTGGCATTCTAAGATGGAAACCTGATCATCATTCTCCCTAAAGTCTTCATAGATCCCCATTGTTCTTAAGATACAGGAAAATTCCTTTCAAACACGCTTCTTTTTCACCCATCCAGTGAAGGGGAATATAGCCAATAATGTTGTGAAAACTATGCACAGTGACAGATGCCTACTGGACTGTGTGGTGATCACATTGTAAGGTATATGAATGTCAAGTCACTGTATTATACACACAAAACTAATATAATATTTTAAACCAACTATATTTATTTTTGTGAATCAGTAGAAACAATAAACAACAGAGTCATTCCCAAGGACTTCAGATACTGGCATTGAGGATCAAAGTATAAAATGTCTACAAATGAATATTTATGAAAGTAGAAGATACAATCACAATGTTATCGACTGCTTTTTCACTTAACAATTTTTCATGATCATTTTCCTATATATATTTAAATTAAGAAGTGCTCATGTCCTGACCCTTTCTACCACCACAGCTTCATCTGGCCCCACGATGCATTCCCATACCTCTCTCTGGTACTGCTGGACTTCAATGTGACAATTTTTTGCCTCCACCTTTCTGCACTTACTTCTCTTCCTGCCTAACATCTTCCTACCTCTACACCCTCTTCACCAGGTTTTCCCTTACTTATCCTGTAGGTATGTTATATGTCACCTACTACGCTAAACCTTCTCTGTCTCCCCCACAGGTGAGCACCACTGCTGTGTTTCATGGCACATTGTGCTTGTCCCCACTGGGATTATTTGTTCACAGCTGTCTTCCCTGCCAGATTGTAAGATCCGTGCAGGAAAGGCCATGTCTCCTCAACTGCACCTGGTGCAATGCCTCCATGTGGTCCATGCTTCACAAATATTTATTGGCTGTGCTTCGGGCTGAGACCTGCATTTCTCCAACTTTAACAGAAGTTGGAGAAACAGAAGTCCTTTCAAGTAAAAGTCACTACTCCTGCTACATTTTCACAGGGCAAAAAGTCTCTAGCCTCGACCATTTAGCACTAAATATGACACTTGATGATAGAATTTATTAATGTAATTTTGTGCCCATGGAAAATGTTAGGGTACCTCAGATTCACTACTCCTGTCACTAGTGTAGAAAATAGAGGTAGGTAGGTAGGTAGATGACAGATAGATAGATAATCTCCCATTGGTTCTATTTCCCTGGAGCACTCTAAGGCACCTTAGTGTGCCTCAAACCAGAGAAACAGGAGAAGCACTGAGAGATGTGAGAGGCTCCTTCAGTAAAGACACAAATGAGTCCATTTGCTGGGATTTTCACCCTTGATGTTATTCAATCCAGCCATAGTAATGGTTCTCACACTTGGCCTCTATGTACTAGTAATACAGTGGAGAAAAGCATCCAAGACAAACCATATATCTGGTTTCTCTGAATTTTTTTTTCCAGGTAGATTAAAGGGACCTGACTCCTGTGACAATAGTATGGAGATGACAAACAGGAGGTAGAACTTGAAGGTGCTGCCACTGATGATACAATGAGCCTCTCATCTTCTTCACCCAGTAAGTCAATAGTTCTCTGCCTGCTTGCACATGAAAAATCACGTAGGCAGTGCTTCTGAAATTAATGTCCATGCAAATCGCCTGGGAGTTCTAGTAAAACACTGATTCTGATTATGTAAGATGTAGCTACTTTTCAAAGTAGCACTTTGAAAAGGATGCCCATCCTTGTTGTCTAGGGATGACATAGTGAGCTGCAATTATGTATGATACTATTAAAAATAAAGGTCACTGGTCTCCCTCAGATAAATTTAATCACAATAGCTGAGATGGGGCCTGTGCAAAGATTTTTAAAGCTCGGGGTGGTTCTGAAATAAAGCAAGGGCTGGAACTGTTGCATTAAAGCCTACCTCAAAACTGTCATTATATTAAAATTATATTATGTGGTTGAAATGCATTCCATAGGATCAGATATTTATGAATGCTATTACTAATTAAAAGATTGTAACTGATGGATATAAATCAAAATATTTTATATTTATTTATTTTACTCAATTTTTAGAGAGAAAGGGAGGGAGGGAGAGAGAGAGAGAGAGAGAAACAGAGAGAGAAACACTGATTTGTTGTTACACTTATTGATGCATTCACCAGTTGATTCTGTGTGTGCCCTGACCAGGGATTGAACCGTCAATGTTGGCACATATAGACGATGCTCTATCAATGAGCTACTCTGCCACAGTATTAATCAAAATATTGTAGAATTTGGGGAAGTGTTGGGAGGCTGAGAAGTGAAGAAGTGAAGGAATATCATACCTGCAAACTCCCCTGCCAAACATCACACAGCCTGGGAATTAAGATGCTCCAGTAGGAAGGACCCTAACAGACCAGTTCACTCATCCTCGGCCCAACTTACCCAGTCTGCCTGATGGTGATTCCAGGACCCTGGCCTGAGATCCTGTTCCCATTTATTCACTAAGGCATGTGAAGTAACAGCCTCTGTAGTTGTCACCTGTGCTGCAACATCCCTTCTCACATCTCCCATTCTATACCTCCTTTGGTCTCAGGAGCCTGGGATCCCAGAGGAGGCTAGATCCTGGAGGAATTCATTAAAAGCAAAGTAATTACCAAGGATCTCTCAGGACAAATGTTCTCAGAACCTCTTTAAAAAGTGACTGATTGTAGTCACTGACCACACTGGACTATGCTTGGGATGGGGAGAGGGTGGAATATGGAGAAGCCTGTGTATGGATGCTTAAACACTGCTTGCTTAGGGAATGGACAGTAGTCCTGTAGGGCAGAAGCCTAATTTTCAGAGGTGATAGAGGAGGGTGGTGGTTGGAGAAGACATGAAAACTACAGGGACCTGAGTGAGAATATCCTAAATTATCCTAGAAGTGTAGGAGACCTTACCTGGTGGGCAATTAGAAGCAATCAGTGTTCTTTAAGCAAAGTGCCACAAAAGAAACATACTTTGGAAAGAGTATCAGGGTGGTGGAATCTCTCACTCCAACCCAATTCACCAAAAAGACACCCAAGGGGAAAGATACATTTGCAGCAAACAAGTATTAGATCTCTATGACCCAACCATATGCGTGTATGTGGAAGAGACAAGAATAAGGAAAAAGATAAACTCTCCCAGTTCATGTTCAATCTTCCTCAAGCCTAGATCAATAAGGAAGTCCAGTTTGAATCCCACTGAGGTACATCTATTCCCTTACCTCTCTAAGAAAACCTTAATACGCCTGCTGCCACCATCATCTCTACTACCATACTGATCCTACTGTGCCAGACTGATCCTAGTCTCCAGCTCTTCCTTATGTTGCAGTTGATTTCAAGACCATGGTTGACAACCATAACTCCACCTTTCACCACACATTCTGTGTTCTCCTTGGCCATCATCTCAGCTGTACTGGGTTCTTTACATAGTGATATTGTGAAGACCTTTATTTCTAGGGAATCTGTATCCTCACTGATCCTGTCTTTATTGGGTTATTAATAGTTTTCACTGACATTCATTATTAAGTGTAAAAACACTAGGTGACTCCCAAACAATATCTCAGAATTTCAGACATGGTACTTAAGGAAATTTCCTTCTGTTCTAAGTTTGGTGAAATTTTAATCGCAAATTGTTTAAATTCATGTTAAATTTTTTTTCAGAGGCTTTTTCTGCACCAATTGAGATGATCTCTCTTTTTTGGCTAAATTTTCCTTTTTAATATCAAATGGCCACTTAGTAGCAATGTGACAACACACCTGTCTACAGAAACATGGTTTGGAATATATCTGTAATTATGGGTTTTGAAGTCTCACACCATTTTTTATCATACTTTTTTTCATTTAGTTTGTTGATATAACCAAACTTAGATTTAAATTAC